AGCCCAAAAGCTGTGATTCACGGTTCCATACGTGGCTGATGTGTTTCCAGTCGACTAGGTCTTTCGATGCGTAGATGGGCAGCCCGGGGAAGGATATGAAGGTGGAAGTTACGCAGAAGAACGTCCCGTTCACGTTGACGCATGATGGATCGCTGTGCCAACCTGGAAGTACTGGGTTGAGGAACGTTGAGTTCTGCGCGAGCGCTGGAGCTGCGCATGCGAGGACAGTTGTCACGATGCTTCGTAGAAACCGCATCGTGAAGAATTCCAGAGGGTCTCGACAGAGTCCACTCTCTACGCGGCAAGGTGGGACGCTTTATGCGTACCGTCGACCTTACGACCAAGAGGCTGGTACTTGCCTGCTGTGGAGAAGCGCGATCGACGGCCGTCTCGCGTACCAAATTGTGCCCATTTAGCCAGACTGCTTCCGCAGTGCTATTGCTGTTGTCATCGAACACACAACGTATTTTAACCGTTATGCAGGGTGACGCGAATATACGATGAGCTGCAGAGCCACCGGGCTTAATGAGCTTCCCAGATCCGAGGCTTCATAGAGATTGCGGAGAAATGTATGTCGATCTTCGCGAATGCGCCCGCTGACGTAAAGTTTTTCCGTGCCTGGTGATCGGATGCTGTGAAGCTTTCCAGAAATCCAGCATTGCGTTCCGTGGAACGCAGGTACGTGGCTGGATGCAAGCTGGCTGTCGTCAAATATCACATGCTTGAAGCTACACACCATTATCGCACTTAACAATGCGAATGAGATCGAGTATCCAGGAAAGAAGTTGGCAAGATGAGGCTCGCTGTTCGGAACATTGAGTTCCAAGTACGCGGGGCCGTTAGATGGTGTACACTGCACGTTCCAAGGTTCTGTTCAGGCAGGAGCGGGGTGCCCCGCTCTGGGGAAGCTCAACTCCGAGATCGCCTCATGCAAGGAAAAGCTGAACACCCTAGAGCCTACATTAAGGTAAAGATATGCAAAGTTAGTAGCCTAACGTCAACGTAGGCTCTAGGGTGTTTAATTTTTCCCTTGTATAAGGTGAACTCGCGCCACTAGTTAAACTTACAAAGACGACGAGCAGGCTGGTAGACACGTGCACATCTAACACCCTCATGAAGATAGCTATACACGTTGAAGTGAATTGGTTGATCAATCTGACCAGCTATCTGCATGCATACCCGATAACACTAAAGAAGAACCTCCCGATACAAGTGCCCTTAACGCCAGTCCATCATTTGTCTTTTTTGCGTATATCCTTCCCACTTTCTCTATTCAAAACGAGCAGACTCCGGCCAAACTCCGCCAATCCTGCACGGAAGCCTGCACGGAAGCCTGCGCGCCAGCGATCAAATCCGACAACCTGAACCGCTCTGTTTCGTCGGCGTCGCCTTGCGGGGGTTTCAGGTTCCGCCTGAGGCTGAGGTGCCACGGGGGGCTGAGGTGCCACAGGCAGATCCTCTTCCCCGCCATCGTACGTGTATCCGGGAGGCGGTATTCCGCTTGGAACATGGCTTCCGATTAAAGGCCGACGTTCGCTTGGGCCTTCATACGGAGTATGTTGGATTGAGCTTGTGCTGTCGTTGGGTGGTCCTGTGTAGGGCAAGATGTCCATACTGTGTGATCTGGACGCATTACGGGACCCAGTGAGCGGCGCATTTTCGAATTGAAATGGACTACCGAGACGTGGACTGGGGGAAAAATAGTCACCGTTGTGCCAAGGCCTATTCAAGAAGGCTGCGCTGAATGGGTGCGCTGATGGTCCAGCCGTCGAGGCTGCATCATCCGAAGCTCGTTGCAGTTCGTTCTGCTCATGGAAGTGCTCAGATGCAGCGGCTGATAAGTCGGAAGAAGAAGAATACCCAGACGACACAGAGCCGGGGGACCCCCCAGGTAAAGCTTGGTCTTCGGCAGAGACCTCAGTAGAGTCATAGAAGTCATCGCCTGCTGGCATGTCGTGATCGAACTCATCGTGTTCTCCTGGCAGTCCAGCGCCTCCTCGAAGAGTACCAGTCGTGATCTTGTATGGTCCAGACGTATGGTTTGCATGCTTGTCCGAAGTACGCTGCTGACTTGTATACGTCAAGTCGATCGTTGTCGAGATTTGCTGCGAGTCTGTGGGCCGAATAGCGAGTGCTTGAGGTAGCTTTGCGGCATGTGTATGTATGTGCGAAGGTACGGAAGCATCGTCCGAGCTATTGAATACGCCTCGCGAGTAGGGAAAGGGAAGAGCTGCCATGATAACGATGGGTCGGGGTATGCTGGTTGGATAACGAAAGCCAAGCAATGTAATACTGGTAGAATAAGCGGTGATCGGGTCGGGATGATGGAGTTGCGTGGGAGAAAAGATGGTGGCTTTGTTGATGCCTATAGTAGGCGGAATGGGATTGCGCCTGCGTTCTGTATGTGCCTCAAGGCGGAACTTCTTTCCCATCCCAGTCCCAACACCTCCCTCGTCCTTCAGGCGCCACTTCCCTGATCACATCAATCAGCCTTTCTGCGACCCAGTCGCGCTCGAATAGCTTTTCCTTCTTGACGTTGCTCCAGAAGTCCTTGCTCAATCCTGTTTTGACAGTTCCAGGATGCAAGGCAACCGCCATCGCGTTGTCGCCAGAAGCAGTCCTCAGATGATTGTCGAAGGTCTTGACTACCTGATTGACACCAGCTTTTGAAGCGCGATAGCTGTACCATCCTCCGAGGCGGTTGTCGCTGATACTGCCGACTCGAGCTGACATTATAGCTATCGTAGCTACATCTGGTAAACCTGTCATGTCCTCTTGGTCCTTATCGACGACTGCGCTTTTCCTTGGAAGGAAGGGAGAGAAGTGCTTGAGCATCAGCATTGGGCCTAACGTGTTGGTGCGGCTGGGTTTTGGTGCATCAGATCAGCACATGTATCATGTAAACCTGGGATAGCGGCATTACTCACAAAGTCAGCAAAGCATCGTCGGCGTTGATCTGGGCTGGTGACTTCTCCGGAAACAGAATCCCAGGAACCATCAGCGCGAGCTGAAGCTGACTGGGACTACCACCGAACTGCTTCTTGCAGGTCGCTGCGGCATCCGCGATACTCGTCTCGTCTAAAACGTGGTCAACACTTGATCATCGTTGTACACACAACACCATCAATGCTGGTTACATACCCAGAACATCCAACTTCAGCACCGACAATCGCGACTCGTCGACGTCCAAGCCATCGAGCAACTCTTCCTTGGTCTTGTCAAGGTCCTTCCGCGCCGTTGCGACAACGGGCGCGTTTGTGGTTTGCAGCACCCGTCTTGCGAGCGCGAAGCCTATGCCCCGCGAGGCAGGTGAGATCAATGACCACGGCGGCATCGCGACGGATGTGAATGAAAGACAGTAAGAGATGCCATGGTCACGACATTTTGGTGATGCTTCACAAGCTACGCGAAAAGTGGTCGGGACGCGATCGATGATGACATACATGCCCGTGGATCGGCTAGCATAACATTGGTTAGCGTCAACATACTAGCGCGGTCTTCCCGAACACAGCTCCAGCCTGGCTACACTCAGGGCATTCACTCTTCACGAGTGGAGACATAGAGAGCATAGCGTCTATGTCTTGCTCTCATACACGGCAAAAGATCGTACAATATCCTGACTCGACATGAGTAGCACCCGAGCTTTGTGTCGCAAGTAGCGCAGCCAGAACAACGCATCGTCAGTTCGCAATAAAATACAATGTGTGCTGCAGTTCCAAAGTCTCATCAACCAACTCATCTTGACACAGCAATAAAGACGAGTAGAGCTAGGTCATGCTCTTCGTCTACGCCCTACTCGTCATAGATATCGATATCGAACTTGTCCCAGTCGTTAGGCTCCTTCACAGCTCCTGCGCTTGCCGGCTCCGCACTGTCGTCCATCTCTGATTCCTGTCCTTTTTGCTCGCTACGTCTCGCCTCTCGCTGTTCGAAGTCCGTCTTCTGCTTCTGGGCCCATTTCTCGCGCATGTCGTTCTTCTTGGTACGGCGCAACGCGGCTTGTTCCTCCTTGGCGCTCAACTGCTCTTTTACTTTCTCGATCTTGGCGTTCAAGTCTTTCTCTTCAGCGGCGGCGGCGCGTTTTGAAAGATTGCGGCGTGCTCTTGCAAGGTCTTCCTTGGCTTTGAGCTTCGCTTTCAGCTCGCGCAGACCGCTGCTCACTTCATCGAGCCTAGTCTTGATGTCCACTTGAGCAAGTCGAAGCTCCTCGTCCCTATCTTTCCGAGCGATGGATTGTTTGGATTTGTAAACGATCTCTGACTCGTGGGATATGAGGCTGGATACTGCATCAGCTGGCTTTGGGTCGTCTGCATCGCCACCCGTCATGGGAAGTCCTTGTTGGAGAGGGAGAGCAGGCGGCTTGTACTCTTCCGCGCTCTCGCGACGTGGTTGAACCGGGCCTTCAGCTTCTTGCTCCGCCTTTTCGGGGTCTGCGGTCGTGGCCATGTTTGTGAGAGACATCGCTGTGTAAACTGGCAGCACGGAACAAGAGATGTGAGTTGTTGTAGCAGTGAGCTTGATCGAGAGGTAGCGGGGGAGTTTGCGTGATCTGCCTAGAGATTTAAAGTGTCGAAATTTCTGCGCAAGGCGAGCGTAGTAGTCCAAGTGAATGTGAGTCTCCAACTTTCTGTTCAAGCACTGCCTAGTCTTGGCGTTTCCAAGGTCGCGACGTGACGCACACGTGCGCGCTTGGGACGGTTTATTCTGCCAAAAGACTAAAGATTATGATCACGAAGACTTGTAAGTGAACGTTCATGCTGCCAAATCGATGTTGATTCGGAAGCTCTGGGATGCCCAGACCAGAACAAAAATAGCCACACCGATCACCGGTATGGTACTATTACTCTCAAAAACCTTCATCCAAACCTTCGTCAAGTGCTGGTAGTCCGAGCGCATCGCAATAGTGAGAGGTACAACCAAGCTAATCGCCAAAGAACCATAGACTTACGTCAAAGCCGCAATGCAAAAGCCCAAGTAAGCGAGACAAACTCCCCAAACATCTACACTCGATCCATCCGGCTCCTGATCCACGGCTCATACTTCCTCCTCGTCTCTTCGTCACCGTAGATGTCAATGTCAAACCCGTCATCCGCAACCATCCTCTCCATTTCCACGCGCCTTTTGCTCTCTTCTTCTTTCTGCGCTGTCACGACCGTCGCTTCTGTTACCCCCGCCACACTCTCCTTATTGATCTCATCCTCAGGTGCATGCTTGGTATGCGGCCCTAGAAATGGATGTTCCAAGCCCAACCCCTCCATCTCTCGATGCACTCTGATCCTCCACTCTTTGAACGCCAGCCCTTTAGGACACTGGTCGAAACGCAGATGCCGATATACAAAAGCGTCCTCTGCTTGCCAACTCCGCTCGTTCGTCTGAGCTAGTTTCCGCCATGCGTCGATATCTTGGAGGTCTGGATATTTCGGGGCGAGTTGAAGTGCCTTATCTAGTTGATCCTTGCGCCGCCCTGAATCTTTCTTTCGATGGTCATTCTTTTTGGGAGGTACTGGCGCTTCCACTTTCGGTCGTTTGTTGCGGTCGGCGTCGAACACGCTCGGACGCGGCGGGCGGGTATGCTCGAATTTCGCCTTCTTTCCTGGCCCTTGTGCATGCTCGGGCCTTCTGTTACCGGGTTGATTTCCTGAAGTCTTGTCATACTCGTCCGGTGCCTGGACCTCACCCCCAGCCATTGAATACTGCTCATCTTGAGTGTCTTCCCACTTCCTCCTCCTGTTCCTTCCTTGCGCAGGTGCCAAGTCTCCAGCACGTCCTCTGACTGAGGTCGCGCGTCCAGCCTGCGCCCTTGCGTCTCCTACGTTCTTCGCGCGATCGGGATGTACGAAAGCCATGTCTAAGTCTGTGCACGTAGTAAATATCGTTGCGTTGAAGATGTAGCGAAAGGCGCGTGTTGTGAAAGTAATAAGAAGTGGTATCTGTCGGGTGAGTGTAGGAGCGTTCAGTATGGTAGTTGCGGCAACTTACGACTCTTATTCCAAGTGCAAGCGCTCGACGTGTTCGCAGACAAGGCATCCGCAGTGAATCGTGACTTCCAAGGTTGTGACCCACCTGCTCTTGTGGTTGCACTACCCTCGCTCGCCAGGCACCAAGCAACAACGTGACAACAACCTCTCTAGTCGCATAAATGACAAGGAAACATTAGTAACGTACCGAGTTGATTCCAGGTATCTTCTTTGTGACTGACGCCTTTTTCTGTCCGGCAATGTTGTGGTTGTGAGTTAACGTAGGGTGTGAGTGTACCTACCAGATGGACCCTGAAGAGCGCGCTAGCAGCGGATTGGCTGCAAACGCAAGCTGGAGCCGAAAGAGGAAGCCACGCGGTGTTGTATGAGTCCGAGGCATGTGATGACTGTACAGACTCAGACAGAAGAAAGCATGGAAAGCTTGAGAGTCATGAAGCCTATTGACTCCAACACACATCGCACGAACCATCCACGCAAAATGCGATCTTGTAGAACGTTGAGGCTAGCCTAAGAAACTGCCAGGCCAGCCACACATCATTAAAATATCTACAGCCATGCTCATCAACACTTATCTCCCCATCCATCTCACAATGAGCATATCGAGTCTCTCCCCTCCATGGCTCCGATATCAGTGTAGATAGAGAAAGATGTAAAACAAGGAAAGCTCAACGAGGGAATCACAGCTATACATGCGAGGAAAATGCAAAACCGAAAACGCCCATTTAGTCTCTAATCAAGTGAGAAAAAACCGCAGACAGGGAATAAAGCGTAGTAGTGGTAGTAGTAATGTGTGGATAAGGAACATTGTCAGATCGCTAGCATAATGCGAAACGTGACAGGAAAGAGAAATATGATCGGTTATTTACAAAAAAAGAGTCGTAACGGCTCGTCAAAGTAGGAAAACAGTAAGGCGTGGTATGCAAACAAGTCCACCCGTCCTACCGACGCTGCAGGTACTACCTGGGCGGGCTCCTTGGACTTCGTGGACTCCGTGGTGGGCTCTTGGGCACTGCGGGCACGTCCGGTACATCTTCTTGATCCTGACGAAGATGTTCCGGGGCCTCGTCCCGTGTTATTGTTGCTCTCCGTATCGCGTTGCGTAACCGGCTCATGACCGCTGGCTGTGTATTGGGAGTGCCATGTTGGTAGCTGTTCCGGTGGCCTTGGAAGCTGTTACGGCTATGCGAAGACTCAAGTCGCGTCAACATAGCTGCCGATGTAAAGTCGTTGCTTTGCTCGAAACTAGGGCGTACACGGTCCATAGACATGCGTGCACGATCGAAGCTCGGTCGCACACGATAATCGGTCGACATACGGTGGGCGAGAGGAGGAGGAGCTTCCGTTGTGGGTGCGGGTGGAAGACCTTCCGTAGAGCGGCGGAAGGTGTAGTCGGTGCTATTACTGCCATTTTGACTTCTTGGGTTATGCGTCGTAGCCGTCGGGGCGACTGATGGTGGATAGATGGGACGCACGTCTTCATCGGTAGCATCGGCGTTAGCGGCTTTGTACTTTGTAGCGTCGGGTTCCGACTTGTTAGAGTCTGACTCACCAGCCACCTTCTCGGGCGGTGGAGGAAGGTAGGCGTCAGTGTCTCTAAGGTAGTCGAATTTACCTTGCTTGACTTGCTCTCGGATGATGTCCGCGTCGAGGGGGAAGTACATTTTCTGCACAACCTTGAAAATGAAGCGCGGAAGTAAACAGGCTATCGTAGCGCAGAGGACGTAAGCCCAGAAATTAAGAGTACCATATGCTTCGGCACCAGCTTTGTAGAACTGAGCACTCGATGTGAAGGAGGTGTACACTCCGGTCCAGAACCAGATGAAGAGAGTACTGATGACGACGATGAGGACCATGAGCCAATCCCAACGGTAGGTGTTGTACAACACGTAAATGTTGGCAGCGCAAACGGCGGTAGTCGCAGCATAGATACCCATGCGTCGGAATTCAGCCAGGTCCAGTCCGTTGGAAGTCGCGAAAGTAGCGGGTGCAAAGATCTCATACAAGAAGAAGAAAGCGACCGCGGATTGGTAGATACCGTCGACCATGTAAGCCCTGGAGAATGTTAGCAATCTTTCATACGCTCTGAGAATACTGTACTTACCAGAACTTCGGCTGGCTCCATTCCTTCCGCTCGATACCACGACGGTACAGCTGTGGAACGGCCAGAGATACTCTATCATCGACATCCTGATCCAGAACACCCATGACGATAACAGGGAGTGACGTAAACGCCAAGTTGAAGAAGATAATGTACGTGTAGTCGAAGATATACTGGCTGTCGAAGTTGGTGTAAATCTGGTACCAGAAGAGAGAGAACGTCCAGATGATGTTCTTGTAGAAGAAGTTGGCAATCGTCTCTGCAAGTCTGCGGTAGGACCATCGACCATGAACAAGCACTAGACGAGTGAGGAAGCGGAATTGACCAATGGCGTAATCAGAGGACATGACGGCTGCGCGTCCCTCAACACCAGCGATACCGACACCGACATGGGCTTCTTGAATCATAGCGACATCGTTGGCACCGTCTCCGATAGCAAGAGTGAGACAGTCCAGGCCGGTCTTCACCATATTGACGACAGCTGCCTTCTGACTGGGACTGACTCTGCAGCAGAGAACGGACCGGCATCGCCTACACAGAAGAAGGAACTTTCTCTTTACCGAATCATCCAGAGCCAGCTTGAGAGTATCTCCGTCAATGATGATGGCATGCGTAGGTGGTGGAGGTTCGTGATCGTTTTGAGCGGCGGCTAGCTCTTCTTCAGAGCCTTCCAAGCCGAAGATCTTCAACTTCTCGTCAAGCTGGGCTTCCACGGAACCGATGTTGTCATCGGTAACCTTGAGAATGATGAGGTCCATGTCGTTATCGAGTAGGTTGCAAGAGAACCCAATGTTGATGGCTGTCTCAACTTTGTCACCCGTTAGGACCCACAGTTTGATACCAGCTTGACTGAGGAGAGAAATCGACTCTGGCACACCGTCTTGAAGTCGATCTTCGATGGCAGTTCCTCCGATCAGCCACAGGTGGTTTTCGATGCGATCAGAGACCTCTTCCAGCTTATCTTCACGCCCCTGGATAGCGTTGGCAGCGATGTCATAATCCCTGTTCCACTCTTGATATTCCTCTTCGGAAACCTCTCTTTGAGCGATGCACAGTGTTCGGAGTCCTTCTCGTGCAAACATTTCCAGGTGTTCACCGGTGTCGGCACGGAGTTGTCGCTGCTCATTGGGGATCAATCTCGAGTAGATCATGCTGTCGGCTCCCTTGCAGAAGAGGACGATTCGGTTGTCGGGCATTCTGATGATCGCGCTCATGCGCTTCCTGCTGGAGTTGAATTCCAGAGTATTGAGAACCTGGTATTTGCGCTCTTCTCCCAAAACATTGACAACGAGACGGTCGTCTTCACGGCCTACGAATGTGAAGCCACAGTCGCGAGCAGTGGCGACAAGTGCAGCTTCGTCGGGCGATTGTGCTTTGAACTCGATCTTCGGTGGGTCGCCTGGAGTGCGTTCGGTAACAACAGTATGACAGAGGGCCAAAGCGATCATGAATTCCTCGTTGGCTCTCTTCTGTTCCATTCCAGAGTCTCCACGCAGGTCGTCGACATAGTCCGGGGCAATGAAGGTCAGGTCGTCGTCCCACAAGTAGGGGTTGTTGTGCATCTTGCGGATCCCCTCGAGCATCCGCACACGGTCGCGTGCTATCTGTTCGCGGGCTTTGGCACCCTCCACTTCGACGTTGATACCCTGTCTGCGTTGCATACCTGCTTGAGCCTCCGTGTACGCTTCTCCGTAGGGCACACCATTGATGGTCGCCTTCTTGAACTCCATGACGTTTTGTGTGAGCGTTCCCGTCTTGTCCGAGAAGATGTATTCGACCTGACCCACGTCGTCGGAGATGTTCCAAGACTTGGGCGTACATGGGTAATCGAGCTTTGCGTAGTACATGTGGATGTCGCTGTAGATGAAGAGGGCCTGCAACGTTCGAATGATTTCCAAGGTGATGTAAAGAGAAATGGGAACCAAATTCTGGAAGAGAATAACGGCAGCCCAGAACGCAATGACACCGTCTGTGGCAGGGTTACCTCCGTAGGACCCATATTCGAAGAAGGAATGGGTGGTGTCGTCCCGGGCCCATGTGACCCCAAGCACGATTCCAGAAACCAGACACATGGCGGCCAGGATGAAAAAGTTGTATACAACGTTCCAATTAAGTTCTTTTGATATCCTGGCTCGCTTGCTAGGCGTGATACCAGAGTTGATCATGATCTTTGTCTCTTCTCCGGTAAATACGACAACGCCCAGCACCCACTCAGTGTTTCGAAGTTGGCAGCCACGGAGGATGAGGTTGTTGATAGAGATAGGCTCGACCATCTCGTACGGCGGTGCTTCAGGGTCCTTTGCATTGTGCTGCTGCCATCTGATGGCTGCGCTGTACGAGTAGAGGTTCGAGTGGGCGCCTTCGCTCTCGATGACGAAGTCGGCGCGTTCGCAGTGTCGAGCGTGTCGCACTTCTCGGGTGCAGTGCAGTGCGTTGCGCACCTTGAGGTTCGTCTCACCGTCCAAGTTCTTCGTCTCGACATAGCACGCGCCGTCGTCGGAAGAGGTGGAGAGAACAATGACGTCGGCGGGGATCTCCTCGTCGTTGTACAGGCGCACAAAGTCGCCGACCTGAACGTTCTTCCAGGCGTCCTTCTTGAAACGTGCCTTTTCCGGGACCGTCTTGTTCGGGTTCAGGACGCTTCCCCAGAACTTCTTTTGCACACCGGGATTGGCGTCTGCACCGCGGATCTTGTCTCCTTCTCCTGGCCCGGAAGTCAATGGAGGGGATTGCGCTGGGGACTGGCCTGGGAGCGGTGAAGGCACGGGTGTCATCTGGATGTCGTTCTCGCCGCCAAAGTAGGATTCCCTGTGCGATGCGATGGATGCTCTGCGGGTCTCGTGCGAGGGGCGCGTGCCGTCGACAGCGTTGTCGTCGCCGCCTTTGCCCTTTGCACCCTTCTTGTTCTTCGCGTTCTTCATCAACCGCCATGTTGAGATTATGCCCTTGGTGGTAGCCTTCTTGATCCTCCGCCATAGCGAAATCGAGTCCTCGGCCGTGTTTACGTTGTTAAAGTCGACGAGTCGGTGGACGGGCGCGTTGTTCAGCTCGTTGTCGAGGACGGTTCTCCGCCAATCTTCTACTCCATCCTTGATGGACGTCACGACGAGAATGACGATGAGGGGTACTGCGTTCAGCGCAGGATTACTGGCGCCGAAGATTGAGAAAATCTACACGATTGCGTTAGTCTGGAAGTGTCGGAGGTGCCGGAGGGGGTGGGTACGCACGCCCAGGATAATGATAAACAAGAAGTAGACATTGGCGATGTTGTGGAACTGGAACCACAGGTTCTTGGGAATGAAGCTGAGGGGCGTGTATTTGGCGGTTCTTATCTTGTTGCGGGCGTAGTGTGCGAGGGGCTGGCCTTCTTCGTCGCGCTCTGTTTGGGGCAGCGGCACGTTGAAGTAGACTCTCCGGCCGGAGTCTTCGTGGTCGGCGCCTGCATCTGAACTCTCAGGGGACTGGTCGTGGTCGAGCGGCGGCCCGCCTTCTTTGCCCAGCGAGTCTCGCTTCTCGCCGCCAGAGCCTATGCGCCGGTGCAGGCGCTCCTTGAGCGAGTGTCGCTTGTTGGCCGCTTTGATGCCGGTTGCGCGGTGTGTTGCCCCTGCGTGGCTCCCGTCAGCGCGTGCTCTCAACTCTGTGCTGTCAGCGGGTGGTGTCACTCACAACGTATGCGCTTCTGCGGATGTGACACCTCGGTCTCATTGGGCTCCATGTAGGGTTCCAGCGTCATGGTGCCTGTCGTCGGGGAGGCTGCGGCGGTGCGAGGGCGGCGACGGCCTGAGCCGGGAAGGCTCTACGCGGCGCGGCAGGCCAATTCGATCGTGTCGGACGCGGGTACGAGGCGACGGGTGCAGTGCATGTAGTGCCGGGCGGGTGTTGAGGGGCGGTGGGAGCGTGGTGGTGTTGTTGTCGCGGAGGGTGAGAACAGATGGGCGCCCGTGTAGTCGGATATTAAAAGATGCCGGACGAACTTGCACGCAGAGGCGGAGCGACAGGCAGGCGATGCGATGGGCGACTCCAAGTTTGATTAGGCGGTGCAGTGTCGTCAGTACACGATGAAGCACGAGGGGAAACAGCGGAGCGGCAGGTACTTCGACAGACCCTGACAGTGATGAATGGATGGATGCGATGCTTGCCATGTGCTTACAGAAGCATCGGCGCGGGAAGCACACGCCTCGCACTCCCTCGGCCGGCCGCTACGGTCTTAACAAGATGCGAGCCTAGTTGCTCTTGGAGGACCCGCACTGCGATCTGATCATTAAACGCACCAACACAGGAGCATTTATTTCTGTCGCGCGCGTTGGCGACGCGTGGCCTGGCCGCTCCAGCACAGAGGCAGTAGACACAGTGCACATCCCCATCTCAAAGCTCGGCAACAGTGCCTCAGAGGGAAGAGAACACATCCTCTGCAACGCATGGCCCCAGCATGTCAGCAGTCAGCACTTGGGCTTGCCAGTGCCAGTTCATGGACTAATCGCAGCGGAGCTTCCGCGGGCCACCGCCAGCAGCCCTTCTAAGCAGGTCGAGTGGAGCATCATCTCAGCCCTCAGTCCCTCGACTCCGCTGTGCATGGCGTAGCCGGGAGATCCTCAGTTCCGTGCTTCGTACAACTCACTTTTCACAGCTGGCACTCGGATTAATGAAGCGTCTAGAGCCGCATCCATGTGCTTAATATAACACCTCTAACGGTGTACGCCTTTGAACCTCAGATCTGATACTGCCCAGCGCAGCGAGAGCAATGCGAAACCGTTGAAACAGACGTCACCACTCTGTGAGGGCGGCACCGCTCGGATGCGAGCTACTTTCCGCAGGTGAAAATGGACCTCCGTCCAGCGACATTCGGATGCCGGCCAATGCGGATTCCGATGCATGTCGTCAATGGCAAAGAATCTAGCCCGCCTGCACGCCCTGCGCGAGGCAGCGAGGCGTCCACGGTGGAATGCGCCCAGATGCTTAGCCCCGGGTCAATTCAGGGCTGTTCGTCGACCTGGCACGTGACAGCGTGCTGTGAACTGTGGAATTATTCCCGGCCTCTGGGCGCCTCACGCGTCACGACGTTACACCACCAGGCACCCCACCCGTCTACACCACCCCTCTGTTATTCTCCGCCATGAAACCCCAAAAGAAAAGCATCCGAGACTTCTTCTCGCCCGTTTCCAGAACCCCTCCGCCTGCTGCTAGCCCGCAAACCACGTTGCCTCAGAGAAGTACACGCCTCCCACCAGTATTGCTGCCCCAGGCTAACCGCACTCCCACTGCAGATGCAAACAATGCGCCTGCCCGTCAGTCAAACCCGCCAAGTTCTTCTGGAGTGGCACAGGACGCAAACTCACATGCCGCCCATACCCCGCTTTCCTCGTCAAACACACCCGCGTCCAGCGCGCCGTCCACGATGAGAGCTGCGAGTGCCGATGCGCCGCCTTTCAACCCCTCCCAAACATCCGCAAACTCGGGCGCAAGCAAGCGCACCACATCCAATGGCCAGCAGGTGGTTCTCGACTCGGACGATGATTCTCTACCCGACCTTGACTTTGGTCTACCCACCCCCAAAGTCAAGACCATCGTCACGACCACCACCAAACGTTCTAAGCGCATGTCCGAAGACCAAGAGAACGGTCTACAAAAGCCGGCCAAGAAGGCCAAGGATAACAAGAGCAAGTTTGATGTACTTGTAAAGGCGGCCCACAAAAATCTCGAGACAGAGCGGCAGATCAAGGAGCACAGTGCGCTTCTGGACCAGTCCCTTGAAGAACACGCAGATACTACCCTGGCACTCAACGAGGAACTACTTGGCCAAGCTGTGGACGACGACGACGACCCAGAGAAAGCGCATCGCCTCCTTCAGGCCATGCAGAGAACAAATGCTACACAGATGGAGAGCGTCTACCATTTCTTCCAAGATGACTCGGACTCAATACAAGCGCAGCCCAAGTTCCCCCTCAGCAGCCTGCCTAAGCATGGATGGGTCTCGATTTTTAAAGGTGGGATGGTTACGATGACGACAAGCTGGATCTATTGCTAACATGGTCAAGACTCCCACGCCAGGGACCAGGCTTTCATGACTGGCTTTGCACAACAAATCTTTCGAATGCAACAACTACCCGAAGAACTGGCTTCCTGGATGATTGAATGTAGTGCGTATCGCACGAACTTGATAAAATGTCCCTGCTAAGAACTGTAGTTTCCCAAAGTCGGAATGAGGCACTTAGCTGCAGATACATTGAGATCTTGGAATCAGAACCTCACAACAAGCACCTCCGTACGCTGCTTGATAACGACAGGCTAGATTCTTTATTCGGGGCAATGGGTGCCAATACAACTCAACTCAAGGCGCAGAGTGAACTAGTCCCAATTTCAGTACCACGAACCGAAACTAAAGTCTTGCTTCCTCCGTCACTGGTCTCTGCCGCCAGACTACTCCAACATGCAGCGCCAGTGTAGGTGGACTATATACATGTATGGTACTTTGCTGACTTTGGTAGGCTACGTTCGAAAGCTCGAAGGCGTGCGCTCTCTATTCTTTGCCACGTGTGTCTGGATGACCGAGTTGTTGCAGATGCTCATATATTACACATCATCCAGGACGCTATGGAAGCTCTCATATGCAACCTTGATAATCACAAAATGACCTCCACCGTAGGGAGTCCTCCACTGCAACACGATACCCAGGCTCTAATCTCTTCACAGCTTAGCGATATCATCTCCCAACTACTTGTCAAAGTAACGCATCCTCTGCTTCAAAGGAACCTAGTCTGTTCGTTCCCAGCGACTTCACCATTAACGGCATACCTTCAACGCCACTTGGCTCTCGCGTTATTAGTCTACCCAGTACCAGTCGATGTAGAACTCTCAGACCCCAAGCTGCCTGACATGATTCACCAATACCTGGACAAGTCTTCGAATTTCCGAATAGACAAGGACACCGACTACGAGCACCTCACCGCACGTTTGACATTGCTTGACATTGCCATTGGGCCTGGCTTATTGAACGTCCCGTATCAGCCCCTATCAAGTCCAACAACGTCAGAAACCGGCTCGTCTCCAGTCAGGGCTCCAGTGCCAGCGTCATCAGAAGTCAAAGATTTCAACAACGAGGTGGATGCGCTTGCTCGGCAGTTCCAGCTACTCAGCAACTCCATCGTCGAGGCTGGCGCTGCGGTGGATCTTACCATCATGGACGCCAAAGATTCTATAGAGAGACTACGCGCACGACTAGAGCACGCTGTGCGGATAGGCGGAAAGAAGGTCTACAACGTCTTTGGTGATGAAGATGAACACACAAAGCCAAATCTCAGAAGGTTCTTTAAAAGCACGAGCAAAGACGCGCCGAAGAAGTCTATCTTCGACGAACAGGACGATGTAGCGGTATCACTAGCCGATGACTTGAAAGCCTGAACGGCCCTGTAAAGATGTTGCTCCGCAGACAAATTCAGATGATGCAACGACACTCGCATTGACAGAGTGTCAGTCTCAATAAACAACAATGTGCCAGTTTACCTCTCGTGGAAATTATCTCAATCGCAGAGACAACACCACCCTGCGCATCTTGACGAACCTTCATTGGAAATTAGTGAGAATCAATATGAGATGATCTATCAATACAGATATGTAACGATAATTCGAGATCGTATTGAAAATTGTCATACGATACAGCGCGCGATCCTATAGTTCTGTAACGCACCTGTGAAAGCGAAGTTCGCATCACCATCGGCACAGCACTTGGCGCCCTTCTCCGCGCGACAATCTTGGGACTTCAGGGGCGATCTACAGGAGAAGCCAAACCGGCGTGTCCCATTGCAGCGCGTCCGTCGTCTTCGCAGACTACCCAATGCGAGAAAACCATGCAATTTCACCTACTGCAATCCTTCGAAAACTAGCGTCTTAGCCAAAGGGTCTAGACAGGAGAGAAAAATCATGCGCGCAGCTGTATCCGTGAGGATGCTCGGTCGCGGCCCACAAGAAGAGATTCATCTCCTCCTGTCACATTGCATGGCGGGGCGAGGACGCGGCTTACTCATCTAACTACTGTACGTGCGTGCGTGAGGCGGGTTCTTGGCTGAGAGACCCGCAGGTCTTGCTCATTAAGAACACGTGTGCAGAGATACTCGTACAGATGGATTGCAAGGCAGGCGGGCGGCACGGGTACGCTTCACGAATGGCAGATGCACCTGGCGACATGGGAAACAAGCCCTTCAACATGCACGATGAGAGAGCTGTGGCGCATGCAGAATGCTGACTCGCTATCTGAGGCGGTGTGATGGTCCACTGACGGAACATGTGCAAGCTAGCAGGTTGCGTACCGTGGAAAGCTGGGAACGGCCTCGGCCAGGGTGCGAAGCGAAGAAAGGGAACGGGGACCTCTAGATTCCGCGCATCTCAAAAGAGCGCGAGTGTTTGGGATAGTACGAGAGAACCAGATTACCTCTGCCTTGAGCACACGTAGACAGTTCCTGTCCGATCCACGCGCCTTTCCTAGCCCTAACAAAGCGACCGAAAATGTCGCGCATATCGAGCCTACATGCCGAAGCCCACAACCCGTGACCCATTCCATCGCAGGGCCATCCCCATACAAACTCCACCTGAAATAATCCCGGTGGTAAAACATCACCTAGCCCCGTTCTGCCACCACATGCATGCAGGTATCCTTGGTCTCGGTAACAGTTCTTGTTATTTCGGATAGCAGTTTCCGCGTTTGAACTAGATGCCGTTTGCCGATGAACGGTTTGGCGGCTTTGCGGGATGGTCCTTGTAAAAGCAAATGCACTGCTGCACTCGATGAGAATGCGGATTAGCGGCCTTTGCCCGCGGCGCGTGGGCGAAGAATGTGACAGTGACAGGTGTAGTGAGGGCTTGGGGAGGCTTGATCTGTTTTGGTATTTGGTGTGTTTGGGGGTCGTGTTTTAGGTAGTAAGTTGGTGGGCTGGAGATGGGAGACTCCAAGGATTGTCATGACTATGTCAACTTGTGATGTCGATGAGACTCATATACTATTTCCATGCGGGTCGCGAATCTAAATTAACGCGTGGTATCCAGATCTATATACACAAAGAACGCTAAGTGCAGAAACGATGCAAAGCTGAATGAAACCAACAAAGCCAGTCGTAGGGAGTATCAGCGCTGCTGAGTCTCCGTCATTACTTCCACATCACCAGCTGTAGACTATGGAGGGAAAGAAAGAGTCGTTCGATTGGACATGTACGTTCGTTGGCTTCGCTGCCGGCTCTTCCAAAACCCTCTTCTTTTTTTAATTTTGAAAACATCCAATCGACTATAGTCCACCAAGTCCGTTCTTCTCGTCAATGTGCCTGTAGCGCTCCTGCTCCATGCGGTACTTGAGGACCATGGCAACGCAGAGTACGAGGATCATATCTACACCGACGATGCCGAAGGCTGCAGTGAAAACGCGGTCCAGGTACGTGTTGGCGAATGAGGAGAACTTGCCGATGCAACCTCCCTTCTGAGCGGCGACCAGGGTGTTTTGGCATGTGCTATCCTGGACAAATGGAGGGGTAGTCGAGTTCACGTAGCCGCAGCAGTCGAACTGTTCCTCGTCAGCTTGTGTGCACACCGGCGTGGACGTGCGGAAAATGCGCTTCTAGTGCTGACGCCAGTCATGGAGGACTCACCTTTTGCTGCAGGAGACTCTGAATAAGCGGCGACTCACGGCCCCAAAGTACACTGAGATTGGTGCGGGTTTGCAGAGTTTCCACCCAGATGGCGATACCGAGTCCGAGTGTGAATGTTGCACAGATGACGACTAGCCAGCCCTGAGTACGAAGCCAGCCTCGGTTTGTTGGAAGGAAGAGTGCAGGGAGAGACAGCAGGAATGTGACGAAAACGAAGATGGCATTGACGACGCCAGCTGGATAAGGTGTTAGTTGATGTTTCTTGAGACTGTATGTTCATAGGCGATGCGTGGGACGGTGCGCCGCCACAGTGGTGCCAGAATATCGATTCCTTCAACACCACCCTCATCGCCCCTTCGTGAAAGTCGTACCTGTCAATGGACACTGGCCGAGCAGCAGGTTCTGTGTGACGTTGTCTACGGTCGGAGTGGCGCGCATCGATTGCTCAGATATGAGGGAGAAGCCCAGCAACAGTCCTCCACATCCGGCGAAGAGGAAATCCATGCCCACAAAGGCCATCATCAGTTTGGTCGGCATCTTGACGGTAGAGCGATTTGACGGAAGAGACTGGAGAGAAAAGAACAATTGGACAAAGAATGGAAGTCGAGCGCAGCGGAGCCGTCCGGCGTACTCTCGTGAACTACGTCGATCAAAGCGATCAACGCGAATTATTAGATAGAAAGTAGCGAAGAGAAGAGAACGTAGTAGCAAGAGCAGCGCTCGCGCGGAAAATGCATGGCATTGGGGACACGGGGGCCTTGAGCATTAAGAAGCACTGCGCAGGCGCGTCGCAGTTGGACCACGGCGATGCGTGGGTGGTTTCAGTAGTGTTGGAGCATGGTGGGCGGCCAATCACGGGCGCGAACGGGCATAATGGTTCGATGTTTTGGCGCTGCGACGTCGGTGAGCCACAGACGAGTGGATCGCGGCGTGAGGATGCGACGAGAAGTTTGGAACATTCATCAGGAATTACTTGAGATGCAGTGCGGCATTTGGCTGTCACGAGGCGCGGTGGTGGTGAGTACCCAGCTGCTGCTGCCTCACGCAGGCCGCCACCAACAGCGCAGGCGTGCGGGACGAGGGAGCAGGCTAGACCGTCGCTGCAAGCGAAGCGAGATCAAACGGGGAAGGTGCGTAAGGGAGGTGCTTGCCTGGTGCTGGCTTGGTGCAGCCGCGGCTTCCAGCACGACCCACGCAGCACCACCGTCGTGGGATGCTCTGGAGTGGCATGAAGTGCATGTTTGGCGGATGGACAAGAGCAGCGGGCGGCAGAGTTTGGCATCTCGTCGGAATGCCTGTCTGCTGCGCGTGTACTGTCTGCTGTCGCCTGGGTAGTGTGAACTGTAAGACGGACAGGAGTGGGAACCGACATTCACCAGTTGACCGTCAATCTGACTTGAGCGGGACTAGCGGCGGCATCCCACCAATCAATACGAGACGAAACAGCGGGGCCTGCTCAGCTGCCTCTAGCGCAGCCCTCGGCCTGAGAGGGACGGCGGACTTTTCATGTGGAAAGGCCGCTGCTGTTCATCTCCAAAAGCGACCTGACAGGCCAAATTCTAGTGGGAAGGGGTCAAAGTTAGTATCAGCACGACGGGCGCGCTGCGCTGCAATCTGCCAGTTCATGCGTGTCGCGACGGCGGCGAGCGAGGCTGGCGGCCAGGGCAATAATTGTCGATCTCCGACTCAGAGCTGTGACCAGGGTTGCGCTCAAGCGCATCCGCCCCCAGTTGTGTGGATAGTTGAGGGCCTGCCCGCACCAAAGCAGCCAAAGCAGCCGTCGAGAGAAATACTTGACCACTCCCGCCGTTTCATTCCCAATACCGTTCGTCCCTTTCCTTCCTCAGACAGCTCTCGGGCTATAACACACCTGCACCACTCCGTCTGTCCCTGCGTGCCCGCCAAGCTCCACAAGCTCAGGGTTCACGAGACCACCGCTGCCTCTTTTTGCACGCTCCCAACGGCGCGCCAAAACAAAGCACTCGCCGCACCTGATCCCCCAGGCCGTCTAACAGGTACGTTGCCAGTATCTTTTCCGTCTCCTGCGAGGCCTGCCGCGCCAGGTCACGCTCCCCGGCACCAAGCCCTTCGACCAGCACCCCCCAGCCACTGGCGCAGCACGGGCCCCCGAGCAATTTAGTGCCTTCCACCGAGCACAGTGCGACCAAGCGTTTCCTCCCCCGCGCACCTTTTCCTTGCATTCCTGCTGCGCCATCAAAGGGACCAGCCCCGATCTTTTAACAGGCCGCGCTTCCTTTTCCTATTGAGGGCGTCCTAAGAGTCTAACCCAACTCAAGCTGTCTGCAGTTCCTTCTGTAACATTTTGCGCGTCTGCCCAAACCACGCAAGAACGCCTGCCAACTCCCCACACTCGGCCCAACTCAGCTTAGGGCCTTCGTCCCCCAAACACTGCGGGTAACCAATCTTTGTCGCGACTCACCACCATGGCCAGCGAAATCACCGAGCACGACCAGAACGCGTCGCCGTCCGTCCACGACGACGGCAATGGCACCATGGGCATGGAGAACCGCGGCGTCAAGCGTGCGCGCGCCGCTGCCGACGACGACGACGACGACGATGACAAGCCCGGCCGCGAGCGAAGAAAGATTGAGATCAAGTTCATCCAGGACAAGTCGCGTCGACACATCACCTTCTCCAAGCGCAAGGCCGGCATCATGAAGAAGGTACGTTGGTGCCCCCGTCGCGCGCATCGTGTGGTGCATCTGCTCCCGCGTCGCTTGAAACCGTTGCCTGCACCGAGCGCTCCGC